GCTGAGCCCGGGGTGTGTGGGCAGCGCAGCTGAGCTGGCCGAGGAGCCGGCACTGGGCTGCGGAAAGGCCGGTCCAGAGCCCACCGCTGCCAGGATGTGATTTTCTGCTGCTGCGTTATGATTTTCCCAGGCCACTGGGGCTGTACTCCTACTCCTCCTCCTCCTCCTCCTGGTCACTCTGGGTTTTGGCCATCCCCAGGGGATAGACCTGGCACTTGTGCATCACCCTTCCCCTTGGTGACCCAATCCTCCCCCCAGGAGAGGTGCCAGGGCAGGGTAGAGGTCCTGGTGGTGGTCCTCCTCCTGGGAGGATGTCCTCAGGTGTGGTGTCCTCGTTGGGACAGCGTGGGGGTGGAAGAGGTCAAAATGAGTCCCCTTATTAACCCTCTGGTGAGACAGTGAAGTGGGGTCCTCAGTGGCCATCCTGAACATCCCCCAAATCCCCAAATGTGAGCCTGGATAGCTCAGCTGGGAGAGCATCAGACTTTTAATCTGAGGGTCCAGGGTTCAAGCCCCTGTTCAGGCAAAGGCTTTATCCTTTAGAAGCCCAAGGGCAGGATGGGCTCCTCCTCCTGCTGCTGGGGGCTGCAAGCTCCCCAGGGCCCCCTCCCCTGCTTCTTTTCCCACCATCCCCTCCCCTGGGGCCTTTCCAGGGCCTGCTCCATCCCATCTGACACCCGCAGGGCATCAAAATAGGATGGATGGAAGGAGAGAGCAGAGCTGGAGCAAAGGCAGCTGGGGCTGGAGAAGAGGATCTGGTGGGAACTGGGGGGCTCCAGGGCAGCCTGCTGCCCCCGGCCCAGGGTTGGGGGCTGGAGAGCTACTGGGGGCACCCCTGGGGCCGAGCGCAGTCAACTCTGGAGCATCGCTGGAGGTGTGCGGTGCCTTTCAGCATGGCCCAGGCCCTCCTTGCACCTTTGGGTGTTCCCCATCCCTCTCCTCACCCGTCAGGAGCTCCACTTCAGACCCCATCCAGTTTCAGGCTGAAACCCTGTTTTGAGCTGAGGGACAACCACCATGTCACGCCGCAGACATGCCCAAACCTCACTCCCCCGCAGGGGCTGTGGCAGCCGCGCCAGCCATTGCCCACTGCGGCTTGGGCAGATGCTGCTGGGCTGCCATCCCTGGAGGACGGCGGTGTGTTTTGGTTTTTTTGCAAAGAGACGTGGTACCCGCATCAACCCACGAGCTTATTTTATTGGCCCGATGAACTTTGCTTCCCAGCGGCTCCCATCCCTTCCGCGCACGCGCGCTCGCTTGCCCCGCGCAGCTCGGGCCGAGCTCCGGCCCACGCCTCAGTCGTCATTCATTTCTTGCCAGCAAGAAAACAAAGAGATAATAAATAGGAAGCTTATTTGCAGGGGAGGCGCAGGGGACAGCCTCGGGTCACACGCAGCCGTGGGTATGGCTGCGCCTGGCCCCGGCCGGGGCGGG